TACAGTTTGTGTTGATCAAGTGATGTGACGTCTACAGTAAGAAAAGAATCATCAATGACTACTTTGGAATGTGCACTCCGTTCCGACGGTAGTGCTAAGAAAAGAGTTAAATTTTAAAAGCGCGGTTATAAGATCTAACAGATCTTCTTGTTGCAGACTAGTTTAGCTTGCGAGCAGGCTCTTCACATGGCAAGAGAGAAGGAGAGGACAGGGGTGCTTTCTCTCTCCACAAAACGCTTGCTGGCAGGCTAGGACTTACCTTGACAGTAGTCAGGGGAAAGAATCTGTTTCTTTAAGAAAATCCAAGATTGGAATCTTAAATCCGAAAGAGTCCGAAAACGGATTTTGCATTTCTTTACTAAACAGATCAATCCAAAATCTCTCGGATCATGGTGCGTCAAATGAATGGAAGAATCCACTCCCAGACTAATAAACAACTTGATATGAGAATTCCTTTAGTCTACTTCTAACTGCAGTGATTGCAAATTTTGGAAAAATTATTTTTATCAACAGAAATGAATCATGTTTAACAGCATGGGCATGTTTAAATAGCACTCAGATTATCACTGACTCGACAGTGTTTAGGCTGTCTGCCTGGAAGAATATACATGTCTTCCTTGCCTTCAAATTCCCTAACCTTGGTTACTACCGTCGGTAGGTATACAAGTATTTGACACCTGAATTTTACATGTATACATTTTACTTGGTCATCAGGTACCACCCATAATATAAATATGTTATAAGCTAGGGAGAGACCAGTCAGGCTGCTAGTTTTATCTAGCACTCTGTTTATTTCAGTATTTGGTATTCCCATATGATTTTTTGCAGTGTTCTGAAAATGATTGCTTTTCTCTCTTCAGGGCGTGTTTGTCGGGAAGTCTTCAGGGCGTGTTTATGTTTGTCAGGAGTGTGATGATTATCAGGAGCAGTGCATCGTGTGTATTGCATACAGTTTGGAGCATTTTCTGGTGCGTGGGCCACAGAAGCTGTTACAATACAATAAGCCACAGTGCCTGTTTGAGAACTGTTATGGTTGCTTTGATCCTCTTATTAAAGACAGAGTTCTAAGCTCAATTGGATTGTAACTGTCACAGAGACACAGAGGATGGTAAAATAAATTATTTAGGATGTCATATAGGATGGTATTTTAAAGTCTATTTGTTGGCTTAGTTGTTTTTACTGTGCAGTTACATGTAAGTAACGAGATGGCATAAAATGATACTGTAAAATCCCACTCTAAAGATCCCCCCCCCCCCCCCCCCCCCC